TTTCACATTTTCACCTCCAGTTTCACAAAATAGTCCCGTTTTTAGTCTGCACTCTCCTTCAAATGATTGGGACACAAATAGCCAATTTTTTTGAGTAAAAACTGAAAATTGACTCAGATTGTGTCTGTTTGCTCAAAAATTAGGCTTCATTTCCAGAAATATTGAATAATGTAAGAAATAGCTGCAGAAAAATGTGGGCGAGGAAGTCTGGTGCTGAAAATGTTAAGAACTAAATAAATATCTCAGTGAGATCAGAATACTTGAAAGTGGAAGGACGCTGATTTAAATCCACTTGTCATATATTGTTCGTACAGGTACACAGCATACTCTATCAACCTTTTAAAATGACCAAGTCAACTAATGTCATCCTTTAAAATTAGAATTACCCAATGTGAAAGTATTTGCATTTTGTCCAATATTGATTAAAAAAAAAAATTAGAGAAAAATACATGAAAATGTTTTAAAATGTGGCACTAAAAATAAACTCCAATTCTAGTTGTATATGAGCCGAGAACAAAGGTTGTCACAAAGCCGCTGGTTGGTGTATTGTCAACAACGCTATTCATCAACTTTTAGAAAACCTGACCCAGAAAACCTGTATATTGCACAATTAAGACCGAAAACCCTTCCTTTCTTTTCTGCTTATTGCTAACATATTATGCATAGTATCGAACATTGTAAGAGGCGCCGATATAGAATAGGTCATAAACAAGATTTCTTTTTCCATTACCTCCATAGCATGTGATAACTGCAAAGTGTGTCAACCCATTCTATATTGACCAATTTCATCATGAAACGCGTCGAAACATTATTGTCTGGAATATGTCTATCTATACATCATGCTAAGTAATGCAACTACATCGTTAGTTTTGCTATTTCTGTGAATAACATTGGTCTTAGAAAAACGACGTAAAATCAAACGTAGACAAATGTACTTTATCATAGTGACGTAGAGGTACTGGAGGAGGCTTGATAACAATGAGTTATGAAGTGTATTCCTAGCAATTGTAATTAGAAAAAGAACTGAACATCGATCAATATATATTTTTGGAATAAATCACCAATCTGTCAGCGTCTTGACATAATCGTTGAAATTCACAAAAATTCATGATCGCCCCTCGATGGTCGGAATAACCCTGCTGCAATACAACACTGACCACATCGAAACAAAGAGAACTATGGAACTTGCAGCTACAGTGGCAGTGCCTTGTGTGGAGCCTGGAACTCACATTCTTTTGAGTCGCGTGTGTGGAGCGATTAAAAAGATTAGCCTCTCTCATAATACAACTATTGTAATCAGAGTTTGTTTGCAATGATGATTTTTTTTTTTACAAATTGATATTATTATACTGGTACATGGTGATGCATGATCTTGGCATTAGGACTGCTGGATGTCAGCAATTTATGAAAACCAAAGTATTTGTAATTCTAGGAATATACATTGAATGGTGATTATGTTTCCTACATTACTTTATTTACTTTACTTTATTTTCGCTGAAATTTATTTTCGCTGAAAAGGCTTTTTGGCCGTTTTTTATGGAATTTATTTTCACTGATTTTTGATGAGTTTAATGTGAAATATAGGGAAAAAAGTATATTCGTTGGATTTTATTTTCACGGAATCATTCGTCTAGCGAAAATAAATTCCAAGCGAAAATAAAGTATTCTACAGTATGCTGTAATACAGCTGAGTTTGTTGTACTTTAAATAAATGTATTAATTACTCGCTTGTTTTTAATTTCACTATTTTCGTTGATATTTAAAATTTGCTAAATTAAATCTACGTGAATCATGATGTAAATATCAATAAAACTTGTTGTCTTCCTTACCAAGTTTTTGAACTTAAAACCAAGTGAAATTGCTCAGATCATCAAAATAGTGAAGATAAATGGTTTTACATTACCGGTATATCAAATTTTTTAGGTATTGCCTTCATCTTATGGTAGTTTCATCTATAACCGTTTTCAAGGACATAGGATTTTGATTATTCAATGTGCTATTGTTATTTGATTGTTTTAAAAACATCATTTTGCATGATATTTTCATAACAAAAATTGATCCGGGAATGGTACTATTGTTACTAAGTATAGTTTAATTGTTTAATTGAAAATACATGTATGGTTCTATTTATTCGGTGTCCATGTTCTCCTATTCTTTATTCTTGATTAGTAATTAACCCTCCAATCTACAGCTACCAATGTACAACTAAATACCCATCCATCTGTTATCTGAATTCCCAGTATTAAGATAGCTCTGCCAACTCCTGTTTACAACTGTGATAGTATGCTAAATTTATAATGTTTATTTGTATCAAGATTTTCTTGAAAAAGTCATTCATTGGTACATCACTACAACTCTAAATAAACTGCCTTTTGTTATCTGTTCACAAAATTGTTCTATATTGGTAAACTTTAATGGCACAGTTTGAGGTCTCTGTCATTTTACATACCAGTTCTATTTATTGTTTATAAACAGACTCCATTTACGTATACAAAGTCTGGCATGTCAGGTTAACAGACAAACAGTTAGCAACTTTGAATATAAATAGTCACATCTCTATATTTCTGCCTCATTCTCATTCTAATATTTATTGCCACTCCAGAAACAATGCATTCTTGGCATGGAAATTAGCGTAGAATACTGTGGAATACTTTATTTTCGCTTGGAATTTATTTTCGCTATTTTCGCTGAAGGGATGATTCCGTGAAAATAAAATCCAGCGAATATACTTTTTTTCCTATATTTTACATTAAACTCATCAAAAATCAGTGAAAATAAATTCCATGCAAAATGCTCAAAAAGCCTTTTCAGCGAAAATTAATTCCAGCGAAAATAAAGTATTCCACAGTATTTGTTTAGCAATGAAATATGTTGTAAAAGTTACTTGCTTGTTGCAAGAGAACCAACCTCTTTGGCCAAGTACACAGCTTCATTTAGAATGGTTAAAAAAAGTTAAGGGGGGGGGGGTTAGTTGGCAATATCTTTCTCTGGATCAGGTAAATATTTCCATGGTTGTGTATTTGATCTTTTAAAAACACATCTTGAGTAGAAGCACATGTAAACCAAAATTGCATTTGTTTCACCCTAAATCATAAAAAATATACGCATACAATAGAGCAAATAAGGTAAAGATGGGGTAAAAAGAGTCAGTCATACTAAGGTAGCAACTAGTACTAGTAGCAGCCAGACTTCAGACATGCACCTAATGGGAATTAACTTCACTAAACAGATTTTATGATGATGATCTTGTTGATCTCAGGAGCCGGAATGTCAAACTACGTTCTTCCTATAACCTGGGAGCAGGACTGGAATGCGATGATGAGATAAGAACCTGGATAAATAATCCTGAAATTGACGCTGTTTGATGCAGTATGCTTATCACATGGATAAATCACATGTATAAAAAATGTTTTCAAGCTACATCTATTCGATGGAAATTACCGTGCTATAATTAGTTTGATGATGAAAAAGTGATTGGTCGTCTATGTTTAAAAATATAAATTATTTTTATAAATTATTGTGCATACCTGTCCTGATTTATTGCATTGCCTGCTGAAAGCCTCCGCTACGTAAGTTGCCGAAATTAATGTGGAGAAAAATTACATCACTAGGCAATGTGTTAGGTCTCAGCTATGTGTGAAAGTTTGCAATATTTATTTTTAAAGTGTGTTTCTATGATCACAGTGTGAAAACTCAAAGTAGGAAAATGTAACCTGTGTTGCATTTACACTTGCATATTGATAGGTTGAAATTTGTCTCCAAATTATGAATCAGTGAGTTGAACGCAGTCGTTGAAGAATGTGTAATTTATTGTGGTACTGTGTTGCATAGTACTCAGAAATAACCTGACGACTCCAGCATGTTTCATGATTACTTCTAAATGGAGTATCAAATATAAATATATATATATCGCTTTTTACCTTAGAAATTATTATTGTGTAATAATTTTTTTTTTCTAGAATCCTGCATAATGTGCACAAAAACAATATTGTGATTTGCATAATTGACCAGGAAATTTCATCTGTATATAAATAAACAAAAACATTTGACTGTGTCATTATTTGTTATTACAGGCAGCTAAATTTATTGTCATATTTACCGTACTAAATTTTGTTTTGTTTTTATATTACAGGCTCGTATGAGATCGACAGGGGAGCTGGCTGCTATCAAAGTCATCAAGATTGAACCAGGTAAAACATGAAAACAGTTCTCAGATGACATGAGTTGCCATAGCAACTTGATATACTTTTGTATCAGATAAATGTCTCAATGCGTCTTCAGTGCAAGGTATTTAATTGTAATAACGTATTTAAATCTTGCGTTCCGCTGAGTGTGGTTAGGCAAGAAAGAAAAATACCAAGCTACAGCGGCAATTATCGTACTGAACCTTCATCCTGGGTTAACCAAAAAATATAACTAACAAATTCCTATAATAAACTATTAAACTATTAACCCTATTAATCATCTAGGTCCTGTACTAAAGATCAAGATTTATGGTTTCCGCACACTATGGCTTATCCACTAAGTTGTCGGCCTGTTAGAAAATCCCCCAGTGGTCGATTCTGATTTTCTATAAGGATGGCATTTCTCATTCTTTTCCTGTTAACACATTTTAGTGTCCGTCTCCAAGTCGTTACTGTCTAATTTCATATTCGTCCTTTCTTGAATTATTATCGTCTTCCTCATGCTCCATTGCATTTAAACATCCATGTCTTCAAAATGGGTGTCTATCATAAATTTATTCAAATCAAAGTATAAATCCAAATAGTTTGTGACATGACACGAAGTACGTAATATGTTAGTAGACAGGATTATCATCTCTGATAACATCTAGATACATAGCAAATGACGGGTAGGTCATTCAAATTACATTTCCCAGTGATGCACTCCTGCAATCCCAGGGATTGCAAAGTGGCAGTTTAATAACGACAATTTTTCGGTTGTTGTAATCTTCAACAGGGTGTGAATTATCTGTAGGGTTCACTGACCTCTAGATCATTGACAGGGTATCATCTTTTGTAAAAAAAAACGTTTTTATTACTGACTGCTATTAGTCAGGCTTGTCCTTGGTTTTAAAATTACAAAGTATGACATTTAAACTTTTAAAATTTACGTGCAGATCGTGCATGATCATTTATCATTTCCTGAGTATATACTACCAGTACAAAACTTTGTTTCCGTCTTTAACAGTGATGCGTCTCTTTATAAATATTTTGTTGATTTTTGTCTTTATCGTTTACATAGTTAGAAGATGGTTTTGACGTGAGAGGGGTGGGGAGGCTTTTGTGATGGATGTGTTATATTTCTGTACTTTGTATGTATTAGTACTTGATACTCTCTGCGATTGCCTTGATCGTGGTTTTTTCAGTTGTGATCGACATTATGTTATGGTAGGGCTTTATAATAACAACTGTGTCTATGTTCCATGACCTGTGAATTGTTGTTTGGTTGTGCTCCACTGGTTCCTGTTGAATAGTGGGGATGACGGAAGTATTCAACTTTGCAGCCGTCTGATCTGATAAACTTGATAGGATGGGTTTGTAGATGCTAAAGAATATATACATGCAATGGGATCCACACTGTGGGTCTGCCCCTCGCCCCACCTCAACTTTGCTGTAACAAACCCTCTAATTGGGAATCATCTTTGAAATTTGGTTTATCAATACAAAAAGCATAATGGCGAGTGATCAATTATAGATACGAAATAGTGCATGACCTTTGGCCTTTAATGAGTAATTTAGTGTTGCGAAAGTTTTGCGCTTCCGCACGCCAACCAAGATCTCATTGTCTTGCGAATGTCTAACATAGAGTGTGCGAATAAATTAAATTAAATGGTTGTGATATGTATATTTACTTGTACATGTATATGTAAATTTGAAGTAATGGGTACCAAATGTACCTGAAATAATAATAGCGTAAACTGATGGTTGATCACTTTTTTTGATCAGCAATGAATATTAATGACTTTAACTTCTTAGAAATTGAAAGCAAACTGATTTTTTCGAAGAAGAAGACAAATAATTGGATGTTATCACTCAGCATTTTTTAAACTTGCACTATTGGAAGATGGTATTTTGTAAAACTTGAATTGGGGGTTTTCAGGCGAGATGAACACCCCAAAACGTATAAGCTGGTTTCAGTGATCTCCAAAATTGAGCTGGCTTGTAGAAAAGACAAAAATTGCTGGTGTTTCCTGGTCTATTTAATTTAATACCACCTTATTATTGTCGTGTGCCTCTCGATGAGACGTTTCATCGCTTCCTGCTACCTTGTGAAAGTGGCATTATGCATTGTGATACTGCGGTACGACAGTATGCTGTACCTTCTAGGTCGAAATCTTTCATCTCTTACTTGGTAAATAGCCGTGGTCTGATGTTCTTCTCGGCATCAAAGTATTTAACGAGAGACAATATACTACATCCCGGGATGACATGTTTATCACGTTTTAGTATGCTAGCTGTGCGGGAAAAATTAAAGTTTGGATTGAAACTATTGCTGATTCGTACCTGCAACTGTTCTGTGAATGACCCATTTACATAATTTGTGGTTTCTGTTCTAGTTTGTTAATTCTAATTAATGTCAAATTATCGTAGAATTTTGTATGTGATTGAATTAACAGTTGCTGAATGAAAAAAACATGTCTGTTCTTGCCAGTATTGGTGATGGTTTTCGTATGATAAAGTGGGCAAGCAAAATTGTTTTCACAGAATTTTGAGCTGTTGTACATTTTTTTTTTCTAGTCAAATAACAGAATGTGCAGGTATTGCAGCAGGCTAAAAAAAACATATGTAAGAAAACTTTGTTGTAAAGTTGTGAATGTCTCAAAATTACCTGTATACCTCGGTGCTCCTTTGTTCGCTGCTTTTGTTCTAACATACACCTCCTGTGTATTATCTTGAAAACATGTATTGTTATACATCCCAATAGCTATTGTTGTCAGGTTACATTTGTAATATGAAACCAAGTCAGAATTATATAGGAAGGCAAAAGCAGTTCATGATCATACAAATAGCGTATTTATTGATTCAGTCTTGTAGTAATGCTGATGTTAAACTCTAAATACTAAAATTATAAATTCTCATGATATGCTATGTCATAGTATTAACCAACCTAGTCGTTTTCACCGTCTTAAAAAATTCATTTCAATTTGCTTCCCACGAAAACGACTTTACTCGTCAATATCGGTACCGCAATCGCGTTTCTACTTGTGCGTTGATTTGCTATTCAAAGCAGTGTGTGCATCTAACAACTTTCACGCATTTTAGTATGCAAACTTTCACTCAATATATCGTATATCCACTTGAAAATATCCTCCTTGCCCATTTATAACTGTAAATAAACCGCAGAATGAATGCATTGAAAACGTTATTGTACACGTATATGTTACGAGGTCAGATTATTAATCTGGTTTGTCACCACCTCCTTGGCAGATGCTGAGATTCGTCTGTGCGTTACTTTTATATAGACATAACAGACATTATTTATGGCTGAGAAATAATTTATTATCAAGTCTTCCTGCAGTTCCCATCTACTCCTCTAATTATTAGGGCAAGCAGGACGTTGTCCTCTATTGCGTCTGTTCTCGACTTGCAGGAATTAAAGGCCTTTGCCATTAAAACGGATCTGATAGAAATACTTAGTCTATCATGCTGTGGTGGCACGCTATTTTGAGAGATGTTGTGTATGGTTAAGTAGGCGGCCTTCATCAGTGATCATATTTCTAATATTAACATTTGCAGTGATCATATTTCTGATATCAACGACGTTTGCATACTTGTAAACATGTATTTAGATTTGATGTCAAGTAGCTATCTTATTCATGATATACTGCAGTTCCAGACAATCAAATCGCGGTATTCCTTTAGTTTTGAATCCATGGTACATGGAGTGTTTGCTGTATTTACAAGCACATCTGCAATGAAAGCACACATAAAAACAAAAATGTATTTGCTGTATACTGTATTATAAGTTTTAACCGCAGACACACATTGTCATTTACAAAAGCGCTACTGATAAACGGTATTATGAATCATTTTTATTTCCCAAAAGACAAATTTTTGAGAATCTAAAATGTCAAGATGGGAAGTAACAAAATATTGTAGCAGCGGAGATTTTACTGTTGTCCCTCAATAAAAGTCAGTGACTGTCATAAAATATTTCTGCTTGTCTCAAATTAAATCCAATTTTAGTGGCAAAATTTAACGCCCCAGAGACTTAAGACAGGTGGCAGTGAATCAACTCAAGGTCCTAGTTAGGATGAACTTGCTTCAGGTCAATTTACAGCAGAGCAGTTATTTATTGGTTTTGTGTCATAAATTTTGATCTTGTATTCAACTTGCTATCCCATAATATCAATATGGCTGCCTGTTTCCTAGATACTGATTTTACTGCTATTGTGATTTATTAGGGGCCCAAACCCATAGGGCGAGGCCCCTATTCTTATTGTCCGTTTTTTTTCTTCTTTCTTCTTTCTTTCTTCTTTCTTCCGTAAATTTTTTCGTCAAGCCGTTTGAGAAAACCGCTGAACAGAATGGTCTGATACTGCTCTGTGCTGATAGTCCCTAATGTGAACTGGTGCAACATACTTTCAGAATTTCGATTGGTCAATTAGTTTGGCAGCCATATTTGATTGAAATAAAACCGGAAGTGACTGTTTGACCACTTTCTGAGGGTCTAGGCGTCTAGATTTTTTTATGGTATATAGTACAACTCATGTGTAATAGATATCAGCAATAAAAACTTTAGCGGTCATGTGACTTTTCCCCGCCATTTTGTTTTTCCTAAAAACGGCAAAAAACACTTAAAAATCTTCTTCTTCAGAACCACCAAGCAGAATGCTCTCATATGTAGTATTTAGCTTCTGTATATGAAGCTCATTTACGTTTGAAAAAAATTGTTATGATTGGTCACATGGTTTGGCCGCCATTTTGGGTTTCTTCTAAACAGGAAGTAGTTTTTT